CTCGTTAACTTCAGTTGGTAGAGCAGCTTAAATAACCAAGGCAGTCAATCGGGTCAAGAGGCGGTCTATGCCCTAACCAATCACAGCCTGTTGCCAGGCAGTTTCTAAAACCAAGCCATCCAATTACAGCCGGTTGCCAGGCAGGCTCCATTGCAATGTGGTTCCCGAAGCCATCCAATCAAAGCCTGCTGTCAGTCAGGCTCCATTGTCATGTTGTTTCCCGAAGCCATCCAATCATAGCCTGTTGCCAGGCAGTTTCCATTGTCAGCGGCCATCTTGGCATGACCTTCTCTTTCCACCACATTTCTTCCTTTTCATTTATTTTTGAGCAATGGGAGGCATGATTCTTGGCCAGACCATTGCTGACCCCGTTTCCATGTGGTCTCTGCACGTGGCTGTGCTTCTCTTAGGTTGTCTCCCAGGGGATCTTACCCATTGTTGACTAACCAGTGCTTAAAACGGGAGGCCACAGGAGTGCTTGCTCAGATAGGGATAGGAATGAAGAACAATGGTAATCAGGAATGGCATGACTGCACACAGGCTGTGGGCCGTTTGAGTGGCTGACCAGAGCTAGTGGGGTATAAAGCAGTAGCAGATGTGGCTATGGGCACCTTCTCAGGGTAGGATGATAGGGCAGGTGCATCCGCTAACAAGGCAGACTCTCAGTCGTGTTCAGCTGGTTCTGGTTGGCTGACAGTTGCAGGCTTGATGTTTCTGGCTGGTACCCGAATGGGCTGTCCCGCATTCTCTGGAAAGACACAAGCATATCCTCGGCCCTTGGTTAGCAGAAGCCTTTTTACAGGCGTTGGAATCCAGGGCCTGAATTCTGTGTTCACTTCGAGATTAACTGTTGCTCCCCCTCTTCGCGGAGGAGCGGCACTAAGCCCTGCCTAGGCTTCATATCCGAGTCACGGCACCATTATGTCGCTCCCCCTCTTCGTGGAGGAACGACACAGGACCCTGAGCTGTTCTTTTGTCTGCTCGGCCCTCCCCGGGTTTGCTGCTGGTTCTTCCCAGGTTGGCTACCAACACTTCCACCTCCGTGGAGGGGCGGTTCCCCCTGCCACTTTCCCCACTTCCGCAGGGGAGCGGCACACCGCCGGCCGGCTCTCTCGGGGGCTGCACAGGTGTTCCCTCAGATGTTCCCCTTAGATGTTCCTGGTGCATGTTGTCTCTCTCCTCCTTTATAGTCCTCTTCCACCAATTCCAACTCTGCTACCCACAAGCTGAGTATGCTGCTCTCCTCCAATCAGGAGCAGGTCCTACAGTTTATTGGTTGAACTGGAGGCAGCTGTGTAGAAGCTGGTTCTCCCTTCTCAGCGCCATATTGTGGGAGAGCAGATGCATAGAATAAGTCTTAATTCCAGTAACTTAGTCTAGTCCGAGTTGCTCCCCACATTAACGGCAAACATGTGGGTGGGATGGGGTCTAGCAGCTGTCCTGAGAGCCTGGGGTGCCTGGGGACTGCCACAAACGTGGGGATCCTCACTGGGTACGGATGGGATGACCTCGCATTGGTTACTGCTTGGAGATCGTCTAAGTTCATCCCATGGATATTTGGGGGGTGGCTGACTAGGCATTGCTGGGTTGTTTGCTACATTGTCGTTTTCACTGTTGGAGCTCTCTCTCCCTAAGTTTCAACTGTTGCCTGTGAGGCAGCAGCCTGAAGTGACAGGCTTTTATCACTCACAGACTCACTATATTTGTCCAGTGCTTACTGGAGGACATCCTTGATTCATTAGGTCAAGGCCGCATGCCCACATGGTATCTCCGGAGCGTCACCTCTCTCGAGTGAGGGACAATGACATGCTTCCGAATTCTGGCATGATCAGTCCTTATGTGAATTTTTTTTGTTTTTTTGTTTTGTTTTGTTTTTTTTTTTTTTTTTTTTTTTTTTTGACAGGCAGAGTGGAGAGTGAGAGAGAGACAGAGAGAAAGGTCTTCCTTTGCCGTTGGTTCACCCTCCAATGGCCGCCGCGGCCAGCGCACCGCACTGATCCGATGGCAGGAGCCAGGTGCTTATCCTGGTCTCTCATGGGGTGCAGGGCCCAACCACTTGGGCCATCCTCCACTGCACTCCCAGGCCACAGCAGAGAGCTGGCCTGGAAGAGGGGCAACAGGGACAGAATCCGGCACCCCGACTGGGACTAGAACCCAGTGTGCTGGCGCTGCAAGGCGGAGGATTAGCCTAGTGAGCCACGGCACCAGCCCTGTTTTTGTTTTTCTAACGTGAGGTGCAGAGAGAGAGAGAGAGAGAGAGAGAAAGCACTCTCATTCACTGGTTCACACACCCAAATGCTTGCAAAAGAATTTCGCACTCTGCCCTCAGAGCGTAGTGAGTTCCCAGGATTTGTGCTGCCATGGCGTCCAGGCTGCTCACCCCAGGAGCTGGGGCCCGGTTACCAGCCCTTCACCTGGTGGGACAGCTGGATGCAACCCACATGACTGACTCCACTGACTCCACTCCACACGGGCTGTGCACAGGGGCCGCGGTGCCCATCTGTCCTTCACAGCGTGGCCTCCAGGAACCATGCCTGCTGGAGCTAAACCCTCCAATTAGATCGCCCCACGGGAAACCTGCTTGGAGAATGCCCTGGCCCAATGACAGCTTTGGTCCTCTCTCTCTCTCTCTCTCTCTCTCTGCAGTCCCTCCCTGCTAACCTTCCCACTGGCCATACAAGTCATGTTACCTTCCCCCTCTGGAATCTTTAAGTATAATAATAAAAAAGCCCTTGTTTCTGTTATTTCATGCGTTTCCTTCAGCTGCCTCCTCCGTCTGACCCGACAGATGCCCCCTGGCCCCACGAACAGAAGCCTTGTCCTGCTTGAGGCTCTCCCGGGGAGTGGCTGTCTTGGCTGATGGCCACTCTCCAAAAACAGACTTCCAGACCACGATAGCGGGCGAAGCTGGTGGACATTCAAATCTGCCACCCACCCCAGGCCAGCCTGTTTCCTGTTAGTAGATACGGGACGACACCTGTGTCATGTTATTTTAGGGGATGAAATGACATACAATAATATGACTGGGCAATTCTCAGAGACAGGTGTTTGATTGTCCTGTGTTCTGGAAACAAAGAGAAAATAAACTAAACAAGAGTAGCAATTCTGGAGACGCCAGACAAGAGGACTCGGGGCTTGAGGTGGCGAGAGATCCACCCTCGCGGGGCCGAATGAGTCTGACACCCACTCCGAGGTTCCAGACCCAAGGGTGGGCTACGGCTCCAGGACCTTTCTGCCATGGTGTCTGAGAGTCCAGGGCAGGGGGGCACCTAAAGCCCAGCCCCACCCTGCCCCAAGGAGGACCTGCACCCCCTCAGCCCCTCAGCTTCCCTCATGCTCGCTAGAATGACGTCTCTTGGGAGGGGGGCAACTTGCAGCCCAAGTCACCCTTCTCAGAGACAGAGATGGTTTGAGAAGGGGCTGGCAGGTTGAGGCTGGCTGGCTGGCTAGCCTTGCTAATGTACAAGATAGTCCCCATGATGTGATAGAATCCATAAAGTGGTATATGGTTGTACGGGCGTTTGCCATGCCATTCTTTAAACTTTACTGCCTGCTTGGGGTGTTTTTGCCTTTTTTTTTTTTTTGTAATAAAATATCAGGAAAGAGAGGGAAAAATTCTTTTTTTTTAAAGATTTATTTATTTGAAGGTCAGAGTTACACAGAGAAGAAGAGGCAGAGGGAGAGAGAGAGAGAGAGAGAGAGACAGAGAGAGAGAGGTCTTCCATGTGCTGGTTCACTCCCCAGATGGGGGAACTTCCATAGCGATCCATCGGATCGGCTCAGTTCTGGCCATTGCGGCCATGTGGGGAGTGACCAGTGGATGAAGACTTCTCTGTCTCTGTCTCTCTCTCTCTCTCTCTCTCTCTCCCTTGCCACACTGAATAAATAAAATAAATTAATCAAAAGCTTCTGGTGACCATGCCTCAAGCTTGTCCTGCCCCTCCTGGCCTTGGCACTCAGCCAAGTGGACCCCACCTTGTCATCCGTAAGCTTTACGAGAGCGACAGACCCTGCCCAACACCTGATGCCAAGAGGTTGACCTTGTTTGCTCAGGAGGTGAGCTTCACTTGATAAAGTGTAGGAGGGGCCGGCGCCCCAGCTCACTAGGCTAATCCTCCACCTAGTGGCGCCGGCACACTGGGTTCTAGTCCCGGTTTTCCCTCTTCCAGGCCAGCTCTCTGCTGTGGCCTGGGAGTGCAGTGGAGGAAGGCCCAAGTGCTTGGGCCCTGCACCCCATGGGAGACCAGGAGAAGCACCTGGCTCCTGCCTTGGGATCAGCGCCATTGGAGGGTGAACCAACGGCAAAGGAAAACATTTCTCTCTGTCTCTCTCTCACTGTCCACTCTGCTCGTCAAAAAAAAAAAAAAAAAAAAAGAGCAGGAGGGAGGGCTAGGAGCTGGTATAAAAGTTCTGGAAGGTTCTAAGGGGTTACCTTGCACCTGAAGCTCCCAGGTGAGAGGTGTTGGGGATTCCTGGGTCTGCCTTTGAGGGGGTGGGGATTCAGATCTGATCTGGTCTGGGGAAGGGGATGCCTGGATTGAGTGGCAGGGAGTGTTAGTGAAGTGGGCACCTGGGTTGAAGCTATCTTAGGTGCAGAGATGTGTCAGCTGTCAGTTGAAGGACTAGGAACCTGGGACACTCAGGTGACTGGGAAAGGCCAGGCGTGTGTCGGTGGACAAAGAATCGTGACAAAGATCCCATCTGCTGGTTCACTCCCCCACATGGCCGCAATGGCCAGAGCTGGGCCAATCTGAGCCAGGAGCCTGGAGCTTCTTCCAGGTCTCCCAAGGGGGTGCAGGGGCTCAAGTGCTTGGGCCATCTTCCACCGCCTTCCCAGGGCACTAGCAGAGAGCTGGACCTTGCTGGAGCAGACCAAGGAACACCAGGTCTGGAGGATGGCACTGCAGGCTGTGGACAGTGCTGTGCACCTTGAGCCTGGGTCTGGCTAGGTGGGAGCTGAAGGGTCAGGCCACCCGGAGGCCAGAGGGAAAGGGGGAAACCTCCCCCTCTGCTCTCTTCTTCCCCCTGCAGCCTCACGATGTGGACCTTCATGCTCCTGGGCCTTCTCTGTGCCTCGGCCTCTGCCAGTGCCAGTAAGTGAGCCGCTGGGACTCTGGTGGTGGGGTGGCGGGAAGGGGCCCCTGCTCGGCTGGTGGCCAAGGCTTGCAGGGCCGCCCCTGAGCGGTGGGAACTGGGAGGTCCTTGCCTCCAAGCCCCCCTTTCTTTCCACTGCAGTCCAGGCCAGGTCCTCCTCCTACAGTGGCGAGTACGGAAGGGGAGGAGGGAGAGCCATTCTCCCACTCCGGCCTCCAGCTGGAAGGGCCCATCACAGCCATCCGTGTCCGGGTCTACAGCTTCAATATCGTGGGGTAAGGCTCCTCCGAGTTCCTCAAGCTCTTACTAGCTCAGGAAGTGCTCTTTCACTCTGGGCCACCTGTGCCACAACCAACAGGTCCCTAGTGTGGCAGGATATGGGGATAGCTGTGAGAGGACTGGGCTTCCAGAACCGTACCCTTTGGACTCCTCCCTCCCCGAATATGCCTGGTGGTGGCAAATCATTAATAACCACTAACTCTCAGGGGCCTGGAAGTCGACCAGCCCAGCCCACCCGCCTTCTGCGGTTTAAAGTTTCTTTCCAATATCCCTGCTGGGTGCCCTGCAACTTTGCTCAACGCCTCTCTTGAGCAGTCCCCACTCCATTGCTAGTCGGAAAATTCTATCACGTGCAGAGCCAAAGTGTGTCCCCTGATCCTGGATCTGCCTCCTGGGACAGCAGGGACAAGCCTCTTCCCTCTCCCACAAGGGAGCCACTCAGCTGTTAGAAAATCCCTTTGCTTCCACAAGTGCGGGAATGGGGGAGGGGCATCGTAGGAGGCTGGACTCCAAATTCAAGGCCTGCCATGTGCTGTGTGTGGGTGACTCTGGGCAAGCTGCCTTCCTTCTCTGCACCTGCTGTCAGCCAGGCCAGGAGCTGAAGTTCTTTGTGTGGTCCTCCAGGGCTCACCCGGCCTACACTTTTGGGGCAACTAGCAGGGACTGCTCCTAGCGTCCAGTTTGGAGGACTCCACGTGCAGGCCAAACGGTCCTGAACTCTGATGACCTAATCAGTGTCCCAGTTCCTGCCCTCCCACCCGTCCCCAGTCTCCAGGTGCGCTACGGCCAGGTGTGGAGCGACTACGTGGGTGGCAAGCTGGGAGACCTGGAGGAGATCTTTCTGCACCCAGGGGAGTCGGTGATCGCGGTGTCTGGGTCATACAGCAACTACCTGAAGACGCTGAACTTTGTGACTGACGAGGGTCGCTTCCTTTCCTTTGGGAAAGACACAGGCATAATGTTGTATGCTGTCCCCTTGCACCCAAACACCGTGCTCTGATTCATCAATGGCCGAGCTGGCTTATTCATCACCGCCATTGGCCTGCACTGGGACACCATCCCAGAAACTACCCCAGCAACTGCTGAGCCCGCCTCCTCCGTGGCAGGGCCCCGTGGTGGGGTGTGACAACTCCCTGATCACCATTCCCATACAAATGGCTCAATAAAAGGACATGGCTAAAGCTGGTGTGCATGTGGGTGTGTGCAGGCGGGACCCACTCTTGGAGGGCGGTGTGACTCTCAGCTCTGGCTACCTGCTGCTAAGAGTGGGAGCACGAGGGAGACAGGTGTTGAGAATCCTGGGCTCTTCCGTACGTCGCAAGGAGAGGAGACGCTGGTTTGTACCAACTCTTTTCGGGGTTAGCTCTTGAGAATGTCTGTCCAAACAGGAGTTCTGAAGGGAAGGCTCAGCGGGGGCACACCGCCGAGCCCCAGGTGTGCCTCTCTGGCGCCCTCCCCCCTGAGAAGGGGCTGGCTTCTCTGACCAAAGGCTGTCCCCTCTCCCTGGAGCTCAGCTGCAGGTGGGTGGCCTGCACCTCTGTCCTCCCATCTGTCCCAGATGCGATCTCCCTGCTGAAGTTTCGCCCCAGTTTGTGCTTAAGGACTCCACCCCATTCCCCAGGCCAGTTCTTCCTCGTCTTACCCCTAACCTGGTGCTCTTGCTTAGCCCTCTCGGAACTGGCGCTCAGGCAGATGAGAAGCCCGTGGCTGAGACACACCCATGTCCCATATTAGAGCGAGTGGGTTTCATTCCTGACTCCACCTTCCTGCTGACGTGGCTGCTGGGAGGCAGCAGGGACGGTTCAGGATGGTTCAAGTGCCACCCACATGGGAGAGCCGGTTGAGTTCTCCTCCAGCTTCTGCCCCCACTCCCACCTCTCTAACAAACAGAAAATAAAAACAGGGCCAGCGCCGTGGCTCATAGGCTAATGCTCCGCTTAGGGCGCCGGCAGACCCAGTTCTAGTCCCGGTCGGGGTGCCGGATTCTGTCCCGGTTGCCCCTCTTCCAGGCCAGCTCTCTGTTGTGGCCAGGGAGTGCAGTGGAGGATAGCCCACGTCCTTGGGCCCTGCACCCCATGGGAGACCAGGAAAAGCACCTGACTCCTGCCTTCGGATCAGTGTCGTGCGCTGGCCGCAGCGGGCCGGCCTCGGCGGCCATTCATGTGTGAACCAACGGCAAAGGAAGACCTTTCTCTCTGTCTCTCTCCCTCACTGTCCACTCTGCCTGTGGAAAAAAAAAAAATTGGAGAGTCTTTCCTTAGGGACCCACCATTTCAACAGTGTGAACTTGGCCAACACCACAGCCAAAGTGGAAATTCTGGGGCAGGTACTTAGTATGGTGGTTAAGTTGCCACTAGGGGCTGAGTCCCATATCTGAGTGCCTGAGTTCAGGGCCTGGCTCTACTTTTGTTTTTTAAGACTTTTTCAAAAAATATATTTATTTGAGAGTTACAGAGAGGCAGAGGCAGAGAGAGAGAGAGGTCTTGACATCTGCTGGTTCACTCCCAGATGGCTACAACGGCCGGAGCTGGGCCGATCTAAAGCCAGGAGCCTCTTCTGGGTGTCCCACGTGGATACAGGGACCCAAGGACTTGGAGCATCTTCTACTGCTTTCCCAGGCCATAGCAGAGAGCTGGATCACAAGTGGAGTAGCCGGGACTCCAATCAGCGCCCATACAGAATGCCAGCACTGCAGGCTGCAGCTTTACCCACTACTCCACAGCCTGGCTTCACTTTTGAGTCCAGCTTCCTGTTAATGCCAACCATGTGGGAGGCCTGCATTGAGTTCTGGGCTCCTGGCTTCAGTCTTGCCCAGCCTGCCTGTCGTGGGCATTTAGGGAGTGAACCAATGGATGGGACATCTCTGTCTGCCTTTCATAGAGCATGGAAATAAATTTTTTACAAAAGTAAATTCCAAAGTAGAGACATTTTCATCTTTGATTGCCCCAAGTACAAGGGGTTAGTTAGAATTCAGGGGAATCATTAGGATGGCTGGATAGAGTCAGTGAGGACACAAAGTGGCTTTGGGAAGAATTTCGAGGACTCTAAAATATTGGCAGTTTTAGGTTTCGATGGTAGTGGTGGGCAGTAACATATTGCTTCCCATAGAGGGCAATGTCAAAATCATATTTCGCCCAGTTAGACAAAGAGAAGTTACAGACATGTAATTTTGTAAAAAACAAAAACAAAAACAAAAAACCCAAGCACTATAAAAAGAAGCCCACCACTAGCATGTTTTTATAACAATTCCTTGGGCACCAGATGTTGCTGTGGATCCATTCTGAGAGGAGGAGCATGGTGGGGGCAAGAGGCGTGGAGTCACCACACAGACCCCAGGTGTGGGTGAAAGCAGGCCAGATGCAAGCAGATGGAACACTCATTTATTTCAGTTGGTACAGCAGCTTATAGAGCCAAGGCAGCCAATCTGGTCAAGGGGTGGTCTATGCCCTAACCAATCACAGCCTGTTGCCAGGCAGTTTCCAAAGCCATCCAGTCACAGCGTGTTGCCAGGCAGTTTCCGTTGTCAGCGGCCATCTTGGCATGGCCTTCTCATTCCACCACAAATTCCATCACAGAATATTATGCCATTGGAATTCTTTTTGAGCTATAAATATCATAGATCTTACCCTTTTCAAGTGTGAAAGTGATTTTTAGTAAATTTATAAGGTTTGTACATCCAGCATTGCCAGTTCCAGAATACTGAAGAAAACAACAACAGCAACAACAAAAAAACAAAAAAACGTGAGTTGTCTCCCCAGCCTCCCTTGAGCCCAGCAGAGTCATGTTCTCATGTGTGAACCTGAGGAAGAATTAAGTCAGGCTGATAATAAAGCCATTGCCTTACATACTCATTTGTGGTGAAAACATTTACGATCTACTTTTAGCAATTCTGACGAAAGTCACCATTCCATGAGATCTATTGATCACTAAAGGCTGCTTCTTCCTTTCACCTGAAACTCTGTATGCTCTGATCAACATCTTGCCTCTCTCCATCCAGTGTTCTGCCAAGCCTCTCATGACTACCGCTTTGTTTTTTTTTTTTTTTTTTTTTTTTTTTTTTGTAAAGATTATTTATTTGAAAGGCAGAATGACAGAGAGAGGGAGAGACAGGGAGAGATCTTCCATCCACTGATTTACATCCCAAACAGCTACAATTGCTGGGGCTGGTCCAGGCTGTAATCAGGAGCCTAGAATCTCATCTAGGCCTCCCACGTGGGTAGCAGGGACCCAAGCAGTTAGGCCACCCTCCACTGCTTCCCCAGGTGCATCAGCAGGAAGCTGGATCAGAACTGGAGCAGCTGGGACTCAGATCAGCCTCTGATATGGGAAGCCGCTTAGCCCACTGTGTCATTACTCTGGCCCCTGCTGACGGCCACCCTGCTCTCAAATTCTGAGTTGGTATTTCTTAGATTCTACACGTAAGTGGGATGTGGTATGTATTTGTCTCTCTGTGCCTGATTTCCCTTAGCATAGTGCCCTTCAGGTTCACCCCTAGGGTTACAAAGGCCAGCTTACTGAAAGGTCATCAGCACATAAATAGTGAAGTTCAAGTGCTACAGTGAAGTTCATGTGCTGGGTGTGGAAGAAGCCATTCAGGAAAGCAACAGGTATAGAAAAGGAGAAAGGCAGGAGTAAGCGAACTGGGAAACACCAGTGTTGGTTGGTACAAAGAGGAGGCAGTTACAGAACTATAGAATGGAGGTTAATGTTGTGGCACAGCAGGTCAAGGCACCACGCTGCATCC